TGGAGTCTTGATCTGTCACCCAGGCTGGAGTACAGTGATGTGATCTTGGCCCACTGCAGCCTCCGCCTTCCAGGCTTAAGTGATTCTCCTGCCTCAGCCTCCAGAATAGCTGGGATTACAGGCATTAGTCTGGCTAATTTTTGTATTTTTAGTAGAAGTGGCATTTCACCATGTTGGCCAGGCTGCTCTTGAACTCCTGACCTCAAGTGATCCTCCCGCCTTGGCCTCCCAAAGTGCTGATATTATAGGCATGAGCCACTGTGCCCAGTCATATATGCGAAGTTCTAATCACAAAGATACTTGTTCCAGCTTTGTTCATATAGTAAGAAATTAGGAAAACACCTAAAATAGTAGACTGTTAAATACATAGTAGCCTAAAAACTCCATTTATTAGAATGCTATGAAATCATTAAAATTATTCTCTATACATACATTTGTTTATTGACAGAAATACTTGTTTACAATATTGTTGAATTTAAAAGGCTTCAAAAATATATTAATGTAATGTCATTTTTAAAAACTTTATATAAGTGTGCATATATATATATATATGCCTGCATATATAAGTGTGTGTATACATATATATATGCCTACACATATAGGTACATGTGTGTGTGTATCCTATTTATAAAATCATGACCCAAACAGCTCAGCCTGAGAGAGTATCTAAGTCAAAAGAACCTTGCCATCAAAAGTAATTTTAAAATACCTCTACTCCCTTACTTATATTTTTTATATGTGAGAAGGCAGATACCTAATGCACAGTAAAATTTTCTAATTTCTCTTAATTCCTCCCCCATTCACATGCCACACCTTTCTTGAAGATCCCACTATAAACCCTGCAGCCCACACCGCTTCTGCCTCTCATTGCCCATCTCCACTTCCTGGTCTTCACCACACACACAATCTATGTGGCAAAGTGTGGGCCCTCTTTGGAAGTGGAAGAGGGAGAAACTGACCTGGGTCAAGCCCACACTCTCTGTAGTGTGGCCTGGGGCAGTGGGGAGGGCGTTGGCAGTGCTCTAGCGTTCATAATCCTCATCCTATTTCATATGCATAGAAAACATCTGGAAGGATGTGCATGGAGGTCAAAATGTGAACAATAGTTATTTCTGGTGATAGGATTAGAGTAGATTTTAATTTTCTTCCTTTTGGTTATCTGTGATTTCTAATTTCCTACCATGAACAGACATTCCTTGATGAACAGTTTTAGAATTTTTATTCAAGCATATCTTGAAAAATTTATACAAATCGCTTTTTGAAAAAATGAGTTTCTCAGAGCTTTTCAAGAATAGGAAGTCAGAGAAGCAAGTATGGTCCATTCCAAGTTAAAGAGGTTTAAAAATATATCCTCTGTCCCAGATACGGCCCTAACCCAAGCTAACTGTCAGCCAACACTGGGAGTTTTGTCTTTATTCCTGTCTTCCCTCTTTTGTCAAATAAAAGCAAAAGCAATTTTCAGAAATGTGTCATTGAGGGAGAAGGGTTTAGGGCAAGTTCAGCCAGTAGATGTGTTATCTCTTAAGCGAAAATGAACACAACTGTGGAGCTCTGAGAGGCTGAGTGAGGAAACCCACATGGAAAAGCCGGCACAGGGTTGGCACATCATAGGTCTGCAAGTCGATTGAGCACCGACTATGTTTGTTCACTGAACGGACAATTACAGCTTCGCCTCTGGGCAGGGTCGTGGATTGGGGGCTGTGAATGCAGTGATTAATAAGACACTGACCCAACCCTAAAGGAGCTCCCAGTCTATGGGAGGAGACAGATAACAGCAACAATAATCATTGCAGCTAAGATTTATTAAATAAATGCTTGTGTGCCAGATACTGTGAGTGCTTTGTATTTATTTATTGATGCTTTTCATCTGTATAGTAATCTATAAGGTAGATTATCTCAATAAGTATTTTCTCTTCCTTTCTAATCATGGAAATTTGTTTGACTCTGTCAGAGCCCACAGCTATAGTATGGTAATGGATCTGTTTATATGTATGCGTGTGTGTGTATGTGTGTATGTATGTGTATATATATATATATATATATATATATACATATATATACAGCGGGCAAGAGCTTAGGTGCTGTGATCAAACTTTTGATGTTCAAATCTCAGCCCCGCTAATCATGGACTACACATTTGTCTTTCGGTGCCTTAATTTCGTCACCTGTAAAGTGGGAATATTCATGGTTGTTACTTCATAAGTTCTTGTAAGGTTGAAAAGAGCCAGAATGTATAAAGTACTTAAAACATTGCCTGGCATATAAGCCGTTAATAAACATTAGCTGCTAATATTTACTATACGGGCAGCAGCCTCCCCAAATCACCTTGGCAGTCCCTTATCTCTTCCCTTTTGTTCTTGCACCCTGAGGTTCATGCATTTGTTTATTATTTGTTATTTGTTTTCTCCCATAGATGGGAAGTTCCTTGAGGGCTGGGATCTTATTAATTATTGTATCCACCACCCCCAACCCAGGGACTAGTACAGGGTCGAAACCAATAATTGTTAAGCAAAAGGACTTATCACTACTCGTATGTTTTAAGGGAGGAGGGAGGTGCAGGGGATGTTTCCCTTCATGAGTAGATGTCAGATTTCCCCAAAGATGATGATAACAGGAGGAGTATGGCATCTCCTAGAGCAAGTAGAGTCCAAGAAATGTAAATGTCAGACCAGTAGTTCAACTCTCCCATTTTACAGATGAGGCACCTGAGGCTTAGGGGGAGCTCCTGCGATTTCTTATTGTTGTGCAACTCGTGAGCATTGGAAGAAATGTGTTAGGGAAAGTGGGCCTTTTATCTTAACCTCAACTTCTACCGCATGAGGAATTGGACAGAATTTATTTCAGTTTAAGTTCACAAAGCTGGATTGAATGCCAAGTGCCTGTGCTAGGCCCCTGAGAAGCAGAGGTGAAATGCGCTCAGGGAGTATCCAGGCTTGGGGTAGTCACACTTTAAGCAAATCCAGGTGTGATGAGAGGAAGCCTGGGTCTGATGAGAGCTAGTCTTGTTTCTATCTGTAGCTATCAAGAGATGACTGGTGGTCTGATCAAGCCTGTTGAGACATACTTGGGCCTTCCAATTAAAGGGAATGCAGAATGGAAATCCTATGGGGGAAGCAGAGGTTGACCTCCACTGGTGGGTCATGGGGTTAGTGGCAGTGGGAGCCTGGAGAAAAAATCTCTACCTTCCCAGCAAAGTCGCACTTGTGTGTGTGTGTGTGTGTGTGTGTGTGTGTGTGTGTGTGTGTGTGTATGTGTATACACATAAAAAATAGTACAATTTAAATTACTTACTGTAGATGTTTGTTGATATACATATTGACATATGTGTGGTGGCCTAGCCCTCTTCCTTACCAACCTTACTCAGAGAACTCACCCCCAGTACTGCCCCACCCCAGGGCTCTTCGGGCAGTGGGAGTAGGGGATGTTGCTAAGGAGTATGCTTTTGCATACTCATTCTACCTCAGAATCTATACACACATTCTACCACAGGATCTATCCTTGCTTTCACTAGTATAAAAATAGTACAATAATTTACTTACCGTAGCTGTTTGTTGATAAATCTAGACTTACAGGCTGATAGAAAAACCTCACTTCTGATCTGGAACTTTTGCCAAGTCCTAACTCTAGGAGATAAGATTAAAAGAAATGTATAATTTTTCTGTGCTTTCTGTATTTTCACTTTCTTCTCTAATGAGCATGTATTAATGCTAAAAACAAAAAATGAAATGTAACACAGTTATGACCTCCATGTGTAGTATTTTAGGAGGGAAGGACTCCCCATTATGGATGAATTTCCTCATGACATTTATTGCTGTGCTTATTTTATACATCCAAGTGCTTTACACATAGTAATTACATGAGAACTATGTGCAGTTAAATGAAGTAATAATGATTATGATGGTAATAGCAACTGGTATTGTTTTTACTGTGTGCTCTTCTAAAATCTTTAGATGTACCTTTATTTAATCCTTATAAAAGCCTTTGAGGAAGTATTGTCCTCATTTTACAGATGAGGAAATGGAATCACCAGAAAGTTAAAGTAACTCTCCTGGTCGGAATGTTTTGAGCGCCCTGTCTTTTATCTTCTCTGTGCACCTTTTCTTCCTGGACCTTTTCTTTCTGGCCGTTGCTGTGGCGTCCGCCACAAGGCAGCAACCTCCTTATCTCTTCCCTTTTATGTTCCTGCACTCTGAGATTCATGCACGTCCAGACTGCTGGAATCAACTTGTACAGGCATCCCCACCTGCTGATGGCAGAGAAGCCTCAGAGCAAGAAAGCAGACACTTATGAAGCAAGCATTCATTAGCAGGCAAGCACGAGACCCTCCATGCAGCCTGCTCTGGAAACTGATGAAGTCCCAGCTGTCTGCCCACCTTGGTACTGAAGCTGCTCCCTGAATGAAAGGTTCAGTGAAGAAAGGCAGGAGAATGTTCTCGATCAGTGGATTACAAACTTAAACGGGCATCGGAATCTCCTGGAGGGCTTATTAAGCACAGATTGCTGGGCCTCACCCTCAGAGCTTCTGATTGCACACCGTGCTTTAAAATCTGGAAGGAGGTTTTTGTTATTCTCTCTGATACTTCCTTAACCAATGGCTGGGCACAGGACCAATTAGGGAGTGAGTTTCTAGCATGCTACCCCTCAGGGATCGATTACAAGACATTCCAGGGTCTTATACCCAAAGGCATAAGGGTGAGGAACGTCTCTAAAATATTTTAGAAAGTACCATTAATGTTATCAATGAAAGCCATTTCTAATGTCTGTTATGCTAACTAGCAGAGCCTGCAGCATTGGATAGCCAGAGTGTGGCCTTCCTGATAGAGCGCTGGCCGACCACTCCAGCAGTGTGAATTGCTGGATAGGCCACATAGGATGTACTTTAAATTAGCACAGATGCATACTAGCACCTGTGCAAGTGAATGTTTTAGAGTAAGTTACAGAGCACCTTCATGAGAAGGAAAGTTAATTAACACATCAGTGGGCTTTGTTTCTTCCCACAGACTGAGCCTGAAATCATAGAGGAAACCAACATTGACAGAGTTCATGAGCCCCGGGGCTATTCCAGGTCTCGGCAGGTGAAAGGCCACTCGGAGACCTCCACGCTGAGCTCCCAGCCGTCTATCGACGAGGTCAGGCAGCAGATGCACATGCTGCTGGAGGAAGCCTTCAGCCTGGCGTCTGCGGGCCATGCAGGCCAGAGCAGGCACCAAGAAGCCTATGGCTCAGCCCAGCACCTGCCTTACTCGGAGGTGGTGACCAGCGCTCCTGGGACCATGACACGGCCCAGGGCTGGGGTGCAGTGGGTGCCGACCTACCGCCCAGAAATGTATCAGTACAGCCTGCCCCGGCCGGTAAGTCATTCATCCCATCCGTCTGCCATTATTGGGTCAGTCTGCCCAGTGAGTTCCAACAGGAGACTCAGAGCAGGGGCTGTTAAACGCGCGCTCTGAATGAAGAGACCCCCCCAAACAGGCTTCGTGTGAGCAACGTGGCTGTTTACGGTGAGATAGGTGGTTTTATCGGTTTGGGGTAGGCAGTGGAAAGTTACCAAAGGTACAGTTCAGAGTGGTTTTTGCAAGCTGGGAGGGGTCATAGGGTCTTCAGCCACAAGGTTGACCAAGATCAGTTACAAAGTCCAGTTGCTTTAGTTGAGGTGGGAATAAGGAACAATAGAAGAATGTCTCAAAGTTAATTGGGCACCACAGGGGTTGGTCGTTCTTCCCCTTTTTGTGGTTTTCCAGTTACTTCAGACTTTGTAGTTCCAGGAACTCATCTGGAGTGTATATGCAGGTCACAGGGGTTACCACGCCGTCCATGGTACAGTCAGTCGGCCTAAAAGACCTTTTAGGGGCTTCTACAGATAGACACTTTGGGATCTGGAGAGGAATTGTGCTGGGCCCTCATCCCGTCATCCCATCTTCCACCCATGATCCAAAGCCTAAGTTTTTGATTCTTGTGGGCGATGCACATGAGAATCCCTTCTGTCCAACCATAATGTATTTTAGAATGAATTGCCTTTTCTACTCTCCCTCCTGTAAGTGACTGACCGTATTCTTTAGGCACTAGTGATTTTCAGCACTTTCAAGCCTGAGACCCATTTTAAATGTCAAAAGGCATCTCAGAGCCGCATGCTAAGGGGTTGTGGCTTGGTTAAGCATGCAGGCTTTGAGTCAGGGGCTCGACTTGAAATCTCAGCTCTACCAGGTTCAAGTTGACCGACTCACAATGGAATCAATTGTGTTAAAAAATAAAGTAACAAATTTTTAAACCTGGCAAATAGAGCCAGGGAAGGCCAGGGAGGGTTTTCATGCATAAATGCCTGATAACAAGAACTATCACAAAAGACTCTGCAAACATTACAATCTTGCACAAAAGCCACTGCAACCTTACAACACACAAAATACTTTTGCAAGGACATCTGCCCAGCCACTGTCTGTTCAGGCTTGGACTGGTACCACATTTGTCGATTTTTGCAGCCGAGGATAATTATCTCAAAACAATTATGCAATCCTCCTTATTTTTCCTTTAAAAACCTTTGTCTTCCTTTACTTCCCTGAACACAGATCATTTACAATGGCATGTGTCTTCCCATTGCAATACCCGTTCCCAAATAAATATCATTATTTTTAGAGACAAAAAAAAAGTCTATTATTTGTTATTTAGGTTGACAGCTACTTCCTGGCTTTGTAACTTGGGGAAGTTACTTAAATTCTTTGCAGGTGACAATAAACAAATAAGAAAAGTAAGCTGCTTCCTAGACTTGTAAAGGTTAGTGAGTTGAGGTATGTAAGGTACTATAGGAATACCAGACACATAGTAAATGCTATAAAAATAGTCATGGGCTGGGCATGGCAGCTCATGCCTGTAATCCCAGCACTTTGACAGGCTGAGGTGGGAGATCACTTGAGCCTAAGAGTTTGAGACCAGGTTGGGCAATGTGGTGAAACCCCATTGAAACAAAAGTTAGCCAGGCGTGGCGGCATGTGCCTGTAATCCCAGCTATTTGGGAGGCTAAGGCGGAAGGATTGCTTGAGTCCAGGAGGCAGAGGTTGCAGTGCGCCAAGATTGTGAGACTGCTCTTCTACCTGGGTGACACAGTAAGACCCTTCTCAGAAAAAAAGAGTACTGTGATTATTTGTTAAGTAGCAATTACATTTCCATATTTGAAAAGCATCCAATGACTGAAAGCTTCTGTAATTTATACTTGATATTAGTAAAAAAAAAAAAAAAACAAGAAGTTATAAGTTTTTGTGACTGAAATCACAATTCTAATTAGTTTGCATTTCATTCATCACCATAGTATCTATAATATATCTTTTTAAAAAGGCATAGTTTTGTAAACCATAGACTATAATAGGCAATGCCTTGTGCATGTGTAGATGCCAGTTCCTGGGAATCTGGGATGAGTTCTGGGTTTCAGAGAGAAAGGCTTAGACAACTGGATCAAGTCTTCCAACAGGTAAGAAGATGCAATGGCCCATGGCCATCATAGCTCAATTTTGTAAGACCATCTAAAAACAATCCATTGTGGAACATACAATGAAAACTTAAATGGTTCTGTTTGTTATAATTGGGAGTCAGTATTTGTGGCAAAGAGGACAAAAACATCAGCATTATATATAGTTTATAAATGAAGCCACCTATAGTGGAAAAGGACTCTGAAATAACCCAACAGAGAGATGGGTCATCAAATCAGAACACTTTTTTTTTCTTTTGTGACAGTCTCAGTCTGTCACCCAGGCTGGAGTGCAAGTGCAGTGGCACGATCTTGGCTCACTGCAACATCTGCCTCCCAGGTTTATGTGATTCTTGTGCCTCAGCCTCCCGAGTAGCTGGTTCTACAGGCATGCACCACCATGCCCAGCTACTTTTTTGTATTTTTAGTAGAGAAGGGGTTTCACTGTGTTGGCCAGGCTGGTCTTGAACTCCTGACCTCAGGTGATCTGCCCGTCTCAGCCTCCCAAAGTGCTGGGATTACATGCATGAGCTACCACGCCCAGCCAAACCAGAACATTATTAAGGCAGTTCTTTTGTTACTAAGGTTTCCTTCTTTATCAACAATGCATGTGGTCCCGTATTTTCAGGAATGGAGAAGATAGCTAACAATACAGAGTAGAAATGATGATTCTTAACGCAAGCTCATGCAGAGTCCCTTTGTGCTATGATAATGTGGAAATCCATAGAAAAGGTGGCAATTTAGAATGATAACTATGATTACTTTCTGTCTTCTAAAGAGGAGGCACTTTGAGCTCCGTCGGAAGACAATTGGAAGCTGGTGATTAAATGCACTAGGCTAGGCTGATAGAATTTATATCATGGAAATGTTACTGCTGGTGGCCTGGGATTTCTGCACTGCAGTTCAGGAGACTCTCGATCATATTTTACCCCTTGAATCTGTGAAGAAATTGGCCTCCACGTCTTGGTCGGGCTTGGTGGCTCACATCTATAATCCCAGCACTTTGGGAGGCTGAGATGGGTGGATCATGAAGTCAGGAGATCGAGGCCATCCTGGCTAACATGGTGAAACCCCATCTCTACTAAAAAAAAAAAAAAAAAAGAATTAGCCGGGCATGGTGGCATGTGCCTGTAGTCCCAGCTACTCAGGAAGCTTAAGCAGGAGAATTGCTTGAACCCAGGAGGCAGAGGTTGCAGTGAGCCGACATCATGCCACTGCACTCCAGATTGGGTGACAGAGCCAGACTCCATTTCAAAAAAAAAAAGAAAGAAATTGGACTCCACATCTACTGTCCAATCCAGTTTTGCTAGCAGTCATAATGGATCTGTGCCAAGCAGAATGAAAACATTCTACCGCCCTTCTGTTGGTGACAGAGGAGGGGATTTCAAAAAAGAAAACAGGGCTAACACATCTTCCACAGTAGACTCCTTGCAGATGGAATTAATGGCAATGACAACAGCAGCAAGAGTTGGCATCTATGGAGCTCCCGTTGTCTACTGGACACAGCTAAGTGCTATATAGAAATTATCTCTTCTAATCCAAAAACCTCCCTATGAGATCAGTATTATCCCAAAGTACTCAGTGAGGAAACTGAAGCTTGGAGAAGTAAAGAAACTTGCCCAAGTTTATGGAGCTATAAATGGCTGAACTGGAGTTAGAACCTAGAGCTGCTTAAATTCAAAGCCCACACTCTTTCTACCTGGTGGCCAAAGTGACTTATAGGAACATCTTCCAGGCTCTGGGAGAACTTGAATATCCAAACTTTGGAGTATAATCTTCTTATGAGGAAACTTACTCAAGGCTGGGCTTTGTGGCTCATGCCTGTATCCCCAGCACTTTGGGAGGCTGAGGTGGGAGGATCGCTTGAGGCCAGGAATGTAAGACAAGCCCTGAGCAACATAATGTCTCTACGAAAAAAATTGACTGGTCATGGTAATATACACCTGTAGCCCTAGCTACTTGGGAAGCTGAGTTGGGAGATCTCTTGAGTCCGGGAGTTCAAGTTTGCAGTGAGCTATGATGACACCACTGTACTCCAGCCTGGGTGACAGAGCAAGACCGTATCTCTATTAAAAGAAGAAAAAGAAAAGGAAGGAAAGAAGGAAAGTAGGAAGGAAGGAAAGAGAGGAGTAGGAGAAGAGGAAGAAGGAGGAGAGGAAGGAAGGAAGGAAAGAAGGAGGAAGGAAGGAAAAGGAAAGGAAAGGAAAGAGGCAGCAGCAGCAGCAGCTTCTTACCCATTTGGAGTTTTGTCCGTTCTTATCATTGCCCTAGTAAGGGAGGCATCTCCATTAGGGTACAATTGGGAATTTTATGGTCTTTTTTTCTCCTCTCTTCATAAAAACAACTCCCCCAAGCCTTTGTTAATGATGAGATATACAGGTATATCAGCTATGACTTTGATTCTGCCACAACACTTAGGTTAAAGAAATATTACATTTCTACACCTGTAGTTCGAGCTTCTAGGAGGCTGATGTTGGAGAATTGCTTGAGCCCAGGAGTTTGAGGCTGGCCTGGGCAACACAGCAAGATCCCATCTCAAAAAAAAAAAAAAAGAAAGAAAGAAATGAAAGAAATGTTACTTTTCTTGTTTCTCCAAATCAGTCTGAATCTGGTCTGAGCTCCCATCTGGCTCAGGGCATTAGAGATTCAATGTCAATTATTCTGGGACTCCTTCTACCTCTGGTTATACAAAAGTCCTTGGTAGTTTGATGAAGTGAGGACAGCAGGAGTGAGAGGACCTACACCAGTCACTGCTGACAGTGCTTGGTCCAGCTCGCAGGAGTCCTTGAAGGCAGGCCGTTGTATAATACTGGGCCAGATATGATTCTATCTACCTGGGCCAGATTAGGAATGGGGCTCTCTGCCTTGGAACTGCCCTAAGAAATCCTCCCATGT